CCGGAAGTCCAGAGCGCTAGCGTGTCTCCCACATGCCCGGGCAAGTCCGGCGCTGCGGCTCCTCCCCTTGCCTTTGATTGGACGCTCGGGCCGGGAGGCGGAGTAAGATCTGCATAAAGAGGCGTGTCGGGGACGGGTGGGGGGAGAGCGACTTTAAACATGCCTCTCGCACTGCGCATGCTCGCAAAGGGATTAAAACTTCTAATTTTCTTGGCAATTTTTCCTCGCTGGTGCGTGTTTACTCGGAAGGAAATGTTACATGTTCAAAGGCTTGCGGTTTTCGCTTTGCAACTGTATCACATGTGTTTTTTTTTACTCGAAAATAGTTTTATTCTTCTAGCCTCTGGGTTTGTTTGTTTGTTTGTTTGTTTATTTAACTTATATGCCGCCCACTCTGCCCAAAGGTGTCTGGGCGGCTTACAACAATTAAAATTCAATTAAAATGCAATAAAAAATAAAATTATTTTTGTTTTATTTATTTATTTATTTTGCTTGTTACTGTTTTTTTTTTTAACTTTGGTTATTGTTCCGTCCTTTGTTCGTTTGCAGGGTGGGGTTTTAAGTGCTGCAAATCGCCCCAAGTAGTGGCTTGCCCCTAGATGGGCGGTATATAATTATTCTAAATAACTAAAATAAAAAGTAAATAAGTAAATTCCATGGGAGAGCAAACATCATCCACATGGTTGTATTTATTTCTGTTGGGCTCTGCACCAGAGTGTATTCCAATACAATCCTTTTAGCCACAATCTTAATGTTTGTGTTTGTGTGTGAAAGATCTTGCACACTGACATAAAAACTCTTGAAAATGAATTTGGCTGCTGCCAGCAAGGGAAAAAAAAAGACAAGAATTATAAAGTGGAAGGTTGCTCTTTGTGTCTTGTGAAATATGGAAATATGAAAAGAAAGTCTCCCAATAGCAAACATCCTGGTCTGTAATAGCACTTGGTTTATTCTGGGATTAATGGAGAGGTAGTCCAAAAGAAAGCCACCGTTTCCCGAAATACTACTCGATAGGGTGGAACAAGGCTCTGTGCTGGGTTTTGCTGTCCAAACTGTGCCGCACGTGGGCCCCGTCAACTCACAGCAGGTTAGTCCTCTTCGGGAAGATTTTTCATTAGCAGCTCCAGCAGTGTCAGACAGGTTGGGAAATTGATTGTGCTCCTTTGTGAGCCGTTCCATCCTGCCTCCTCCTCTCTCTGCGGAGGGCAGAGCTGTCCGTGGCTGGCCGAGGAGGCAGAGATGCTGCATGGCGGTCAAGGAGCCTGGCTCATGGCGTGAAGAGCCAACTTCTCAGACAGCCTGCGTGTCCGTGCGGGCTGGAAAAAAAAAGCGCCATAGGAGAGTCTGGTGGAGTGTTCCTGTCAGCCCTTCAAAAGGACAGATCCTGAGGGCCGGCAGCTCCCAACGGTGTGCTCTGGGGCACTTCTCTCTCTCAATGCTGGGAGCATCCAACTTTTCGGCTAGATCACAGGGCCTGTCTAATCCCCTCTCCCCTTCCCTCAAGCGACAAACCACCATGCTACTGAAAACAGATATTATTTGCTGTTCCTTCCAAGGTGAGATCTTGGATCAAATAATTTCAGAATTCAGGCTTCTTGTCTAGCCAGGTGGACTCTGCTCTGAGCTCATCATCATCATTATCATCATCATCAAAATATAAACAAATGTGCCATCAAGTCAATTTTGACTTTTTTTTATAGATTTTTTTATTTTTTCAAAACAAATACAACAATACAAAAATACTTGCTTACTTTTGATAATTACTTAATTTTAACTTAATTCTGACCTTTTCAGGGGTTTTCTAGGTAGAGAATACTCAGAAGTGGTTGACTATTCCCTTCTTCCTGGGGAAGTCTTAAGATTGTGCAGCATGCCCAAGGCTACCCAGGCTGGCTCTTCTCCCAGGAGGCCCCGTGGGGGAATCAAACTCCTGAACTCTGGCTCCACAGCCAGAGACCTAAACCACTGAGCTACCCAGCTAGCTATAATAATCACATGCCATTGAGTGAATTCTAACTTATAGTGACTCTTTTCAGGATTTTCCAGGTGAACTCACAAGTGTATTAGCACTTCTGGGGGTATCTTGGGATTGTGCAGCTGGCCCAAGGCCCCCCAGGCTGGCTCTTCTCCCAGGAGGCCCAATGGGAAATGGAACTGCCAGCCCCTGGCTCTACAAGCCAGAGACCTAACTTACTGAGCCAGCCAGCCAGCTTATTCCCATTCATACCTGGGAACTAAACCTAGAGTTCTCTGAATCTAAAAAAGAATAGGTTTTTTACCACCAAGCGCCATTATCTTCCTCCTCCATGCAATTGTTATTAATAACAAGAGCAGTTCAAGGGACTTGGCAAAAGTCAAGCACAAAACGGCTCGAAGCTACAGCAGGCGTTTGTGCATTTTCGTCTTTCCTGCAGCCCTGCTGTTTCTCCTGGTCCCTCCTCATTAATTTTGGAAGCTTCCTGCTGAGCCCGAAATCTGAAACTGGTCTCCTCCCCTTCTGTCCTCCGACGACCCTGGAGGCCCAACCCGGAGGAGCGAAGTGGCAATTTGCACTTTCCGTCCATGCAAATAAGATGCTTAATGGGGACGGGTGCCTGCTGGTTCCGTGGCAGTGGGGTGGCAGAAGGCACGGCGTTTTGTGAGAGCAAGCAGAGAGAACAGTGCCTGGCCAGCCTCTCTTCCTTGTCCTCAGATGAAGTCGGGAAGGGAAGGGAAGGAAGAAAGGGCAAGGTCACAGAGAGTCCGAGTGCGAAAAGAGTGCCCAAGGGAAGGAAGGAAGAAAGGGCAAGGCCACAGAGAGTCCGAGTGCGAAAAGAGTGCCGAGAAACCTGAAGGCCTGCGATGAGCTACCTATCGGTCAGACTATCTGATGGCCCTAAAGTTGCTGTTTGAAATTACAGGGAATCACTATGCTTCCTGAGGCAAAGGCCCCACGTCCCTCTGCAGATAGGGCAAGGAGAGGAAAAGCCAGTCCTGCCTAAAGCCCAGGGGACTCAAGTAACAGGACTTGCCATCAAGTTGGACTTAAGTCACACCAGCGACTTAAGTCCACACTCAGAGTCAGCTCATTATTATTTTTTTATGACTCAGACTCAACTCGTGACTCAGAACCCACCACTCCCTTCAGTTTGTTCTGGGGGGAAAATGTTGTTTTTAATACGTACACAGACTAGAAGTTAGGACTCAGGTAAAAGGTAAAGGTAAAGGTTCCCCTTGACAATTTTTGTCCAGTCGTGTTCGGCTCTAGGGGGTGGTGCTCATCCCCGTCTCCCAGCCACAGAGACAGCGTTTGTCCAAAGACAGTTTCCGTGGTCACGTGGCCAGTGCAACTAGACATGGAACACCATTACCTTCTCACTGAGGTGGTACCTATTTATCGACTCGCATTTTTATATGCTTTCGAACTGCTAGGTTGGCGGGAGCTGGGACAAGCGACGGGCGCTCATTCCGTCACGTGGATTCGATCTTACGACTGCTTGGTCATCTGACCCTGCAGCACAGGCTTCTGCGGTTTAGCCCACAGCGCCACCACGTCCCTTCAACGGAACTCAGGACTTGGTACCAAAGACTCAGACTTGGGATTGATAGTGGCTCTTAAAATCCCCTGACAGGATGTTCACTTTTTGACATACAATTTCCAGAATCTTCCAGACAGCATGACCAATAGCAACTCTTCCCCAACTGTAAAAAAAATTTGTCTGTGACTCCTTCATCCTTTTTGTGATCAGGTCGCAATACTCCATGCTTCAGTGTCTTACTGTCTAGACTACTTTAATGTTCTCTACGTGGGGCTGCCCTTGAAAAGTGTCCGGTGACCCCGGTTGGGATTAAGATTGCCATCGCCAGATTGCTTCTGGCACACAGGTTAGAGGGACTTCAAACGATTGGCTGTATTTCTGCAAATGTCAGGCCCCTCGGTGTTTGAATGGTGCTCTTTTAGCTACATAAACATCATCCGTCATGCCTGAACATCAGAAAGAGAAGGAATGATTTTTGTAAGTTGTCCCCAAGGGCCGGTCTAGCGGCTGGGTGGGACTTTAATTTAATAAAGGAGATGAATGGAAGTGCTTCCAAAGGGCGCCACTTTGACGACACCGCAAGCGCAATCTCCACGGACTTCCTTCAAGCATGAAGGAGTCACAGATGAAGGAATACATGAAATGACAGGCGTCCAGGGGATTCATGGATATAGGGGAAGCGAGGGGAACAGAACAAAACAAGACAAAGACAAAACTGTGCAGATGGACGCCGCTGCTATAGGAGGTAAGAAATAAGTCTCACTGTGTGTCTACCACAGTGCTTGAAGAAAATGACAATTTCAAAAACACCTTCCAGAACCCCCCAGGCACTGCTGTGATCATGGCTCTCCGAGCTATGCCACTTAGAGAAATGTAGAAACACAATTTGAGAACATTACAGGAGCTGCTAATTTATTGCCCCCCTGAAGTAAGCTACGGGTGGACGTGGGAGCTTTGCCTTCATATTCCTGGGGGAGATGAACAGGAAAGTCGGCCCCACAGATGTTAGGGCAGCCCCCCTTCCCGCCCACCCCAGAACCAGCCCGGTCCACTCACCCGGCTCCCCGGAGTGCGCACGTCCATCAACGGCAGCCTTGCGCCAATGAGGCACATGGTCTGTCTGTTGCTTCCCCGCCTCCGCCCGCAGGCGACCACTCGGACGAGGAGGCAGGAAGACGG